AGAAGGAGGAGACGTGAGGGTGATGAGGAGGAGGAGGAGCAGCAGGAGGATGACGAGGATAATGCCCTTGATGGGTATTCCGTACGAGCCCGCACGCGCCGAATGGTCCTCATGGGGGTAGCAGGGGGAAGAGGGGGATTTTTAGGAGAAGGAGTAGGGGGTGGAGAATGAGGAGGAGGAGGCGGGGATTTCAACCACGGTGCCGTCAGGAGGACGCGGTTGAAATGGACGCTGCTCAAAGCGGAAGAAGAGGACGAAGAGGAGGAGGAGGAGGAGGAGGACGAGGAGGAGGAGGAGGAGGGGGGGACCAGGAGGACGTGGATGATGATGATGATGATGATGATGATGATGATGATGATGATGATGATGATGATGATGATGATGATGATGATGATGCTGATGATGATGATGATGATGATGCTGATGCTGATAATGATGATAATGATGTTGATGTTGATGTTGATGATGGTGATGATGATGATGGTGATGATGATGATGATGATGATGATGATGATGATGATGATGATGATGATGAGCAGTACGAGGCGGAGGAGGAGGAGGTGGAGGAGCAGCAGCAGCAGCGTCAGCAGGAGCAGCATCATTCTGATAGTGTACATATTCCATACAAGCTTATGTTTTCATGTGGGGTCCATCCGTTGGGGTAATTTGGTTAATGTTTATTTGCACGCCACCCGGGCAGGATCTCTCATTTCCGCCTTACTCACCACTCATTCACACACTCACGCACTCACACCATCATCATCACCACCACCACATCATCATCACCTACACACTCACTCACACTGCCTCGATCATTTTGATTCAGCCGTATAATTCCTCAGTCAGTAACCCACTCATTCACTCACTTCTCCTGAATGGCTCACACGCTCATAACTACGACTGAGTGAATTGCGAAGACGTCTCAGGCGGGAGCCCCCTCCTCATGGGGCCCGCAGATCATGTTACTAATCCGAGCGGGTCATCGGGGTCATGTAACTGTCGCCACCTTTGGTCTTTCGAGCTCGAGCATGCGCGAAGTCTCGAGCGGGAGCGTCGTGTGTCTCGAGCGGAAGCCTCGAGCGGGAGGAAGTCTCGAGCGGGAGCCTCGTCTCTGAGTGAATTGTGGGGAAGTCTGAGGCGGGGGCCCCCTCCCTATAGGGCCCGTCGACCATGTTATGAATCCGAGCAGGTCATAGGGATCTTCTATCTGTCGTCACTTTTGGCCTCCTCAGGCCTGGATATGGAGGAAGTCTCGAGCGGGAGCCTCGTCTGTGAGCAAGTTGTGAGGAAGTCTCGTGTGGGAGTTCCCTCTGTATGGGAGCCCGCAGATCATGTTATGAATCCGAGCGGGTCATACAGATTTTGTATGTGTCGTCATTGTTGGCTTCTTCAGGCCTGGGTATCGAGGAAGTCTAGAGCAAGAGCCTCGTTTGTGAGTGAATTGTGAGGAGGTCTCGGGTGGGAACCCATTTCCATGGGGCCCGCAGGTCCTGTTATTAATTTGAGCGGATCATCGGGATCCTGTATATGTCGTCGCTGTTGGCCTCGTCAGGTTTGAATATGGAGGAGGTCTTGACCGGGAGCTTCGTCTGTGAGTAATTCGGAAAATCTTAGGCGGGAGCCCCCTCCCTATGGGGCCCGCCGGTCATATTATGAATCCGAGCGGGCCATCGGGATCTTGTATGTGTCGTCAGTTTTGGTTTCTTCAATCCTGAATGTGGAGGAAGTCTCGAGCGGGAGCCTCGTCTTTGAGTGAACTGCTAGGAAGTCTCACGCAGGAGCCCCCTCCCTATGGGGCCCGCGGATCGTGTTATGATTCCGAGCGTGTCATCGGGACTGTGTGTGTCGTCATTGTTGGCCTCTCCAGGCTTGAATATGGAGGAAGTCTAGAGCAAGGGCCTCGCTTCTGAGTGACTTGTGAGGAAGTGTCGGGTGGGAGCCCATTTCCACTGGGGCCTGCAGGTCCTGTTATTAATCCGAGCGGTTCATCGGGATCCTGTAATGGTCGTCATTTTGGGTTTCTTCAGGCTTGAATGCGGAGGAAGTCTCGAACGGGAGCCTCGTCTGTGACTGAATTGTGAGGAAGTATCAGGCGGGAACACACTCCCTATATGGCCCGCCGGTCATGTTATGAATCCGAGCGGGCCATCGGGATCCTGTAACTGCCGTCGCTTTTGGTTTCTTCAGGCCTGAATATGGAGGAAGTCTCGTGCGGGAGTTTCGTCTGTGAGTAAATTGTGGGGAAGTCTTACGCGGGAGCCCCCTCCCTATGGGGCCCGCCGCTCATGTTATGAATCCGAGCAGGTCATCGGGATCGTGTAACAGTCGTCATTTTGTTGGCTTCTTCAGACCTGAATCTGGAGGACGTCTCGAGCGGGAGCCTCGTCTGTGAGTGAGCTGTGAGGAAGTCTTAGGTGGGAGCTCCCTCCCTGTGGGGCCCGCAGGTCCTGTTATTAATCCGAGCGGGTCGTCGGAAACTTGTAACTGTCGTCACTTTTGG